CTTCGTCTAAACTATAATCCAGTTGGCTGCTCTTCATTGTCAAAATCTATCATCCTGCTTCCCTGCCTTTGCTGGCTATATATAACTAATGCTAATAACAGTAAAATGTGGTAAGAATATAGGGGAAAGAGTACTGTGGGAAGACAGAGAAAGGCGTGAATAATCCAAGCTTTTAAGATACAGTCTCCTATGTTAGAGACCGATGCTGAAAGAAGTTAGTGACTAGTGAAGTTCACAGAGCTAAAGAGTTGCAGAACTGAAACAAGAATCTAAGATGAGATTCCTAGCTGAGGTCTTTTACGAGAGCACACTGCCTCTCAGAATTTATCCGTGGAGATGGCGAAGTGCAGAGTTGCCGCCTCTGTATCCTGCCCTCTCCGTAGACCAGACACACCCCAGGGCACATCTGGGCTATTAGGCTTTGAAGTGAGTCTTGTGAGTCCTCTCTGCCGATAATAGCTGCCTACTTGGACCTTAATAAGCCAGTTCATGAGATGCACTGTGGGCTGCCCCATCATTTCCTAAGCTGTATCTGTAGTATCATATGCTTTTCCATTCAGACCTGTTTGTCCCCAGATGTCTTTAACGATTGCATTAGAACAAACTTTGGAGCATGTATCCATAATACGTGTATATTTGTTAATGAGTTATATTGATGCATTAATATGTATTTATGTTATATATTTTATGAAGCATAGAAAAATTGAAATAAAAAGGCATTTGATAAAAATAAGTATAAGTAGAAGTTTTAATATGTTATTTCTGATCATCAGAGGATTGTTTTGTCACTTCATCACCCCTCCCCAAGGGGTCCATGTTTTGTCTTAGAAGAATAAATCAAACGTTGTCACTTTGTTAGGGTCGTTTTTCTTTATTTCCATTGGTATTCGTCATCTTCAGATGCAAACTTACATTGGTTGCCATACTTTTCTTTTTGTTTGCATGATCTGTGTTAGTCAGGGTTCTCCAGAGAAACAGGGAGAGGGAGAGGAGGGGGAAGAGAGAGAAACAGAGGGACAAAGAAGAGCTTGCGATTCAATTTAAGGGATTGGATCATGTGGTTGTGGGGGCTAGCAAATCTGAAATTCAAAAGGTAGGCTGAAAACTGGAAATTCATGCAAGAGTTGATGTTACAGCTGGAGTTTGAAGGCTGGAAACTCAGGCCAACTTTTATCCAGAGCTCTGGAGGCAGGATTTCTCCTCCTTTGGGAGACCTCAGTCTGTGATCTTAAGCCCTTTAACTGATTGTATGACGCCTACTCATATGGTGGAGGGCATTCAGCTTTACTCAAAGTCTGTTTATTTAAATATTAATCACATGTAAAAAGCACCTTCACTGCAACATCTAGACTGGTGTTTGATCAAACAGTTGGGTACCAGTAGCCTAGCCAAGTTGACAATTAAGATTTGCTGTCCTGCATTTCTGTCATAATTTTTTTAGCTGGGACTTCTGTGGTAGCCTCCTAGCTTATATTCCAGCTTTCAACGTCTGCTACTTCCAATTCAGCTCCTGTACTATCAAAGAGACCTTTGAAAGAAAGAGATTATTTTGGGGGAGCTTGATTCCAGACTGCATACATAATAATAATATTCACTGCAATAACATATTGCTTTAGTATTTTCCAGAGTACAGCTATGGTAACATTTAAAGCTCTGTGCAGTCTGACCCCTCTGCCTCTCTAGCCTCACCTCTTGTCATTGCCAGACTTATGTACCCTCTAGCTCCCCACCAACGTACTGTTAGTCCTTCAAATGCACTTATAATTTTCTTGCCTCTATGGCTTTGCTTTGCAGAACAGAACCAGCACTAAGTAATACAAAGCACGATATGATACAATTATAGGAATAAAGAAGGGGCAGTGGCAGAACAGATGTCACTGTGAATAATTGAAGCTTTTTAGATTTGAAATGACTTTCTTATGGTGAGCAGAAAGCAAAGGGTGAGTTAGGTGATGTCATGGGCAGCTTTGTGTCTCTGCCAAATTCCTGTTGAAGTGCCAGGTCTCAGCACATCAGACCGTGACTGTATTTGGACATAGGGTCATTACAGAGCTAATTAGGTTAAAGGAGGTCATTAGGTAGGCCCTAATCCACTATGACTGGTGTCCTTACAAGAAGAGGAAATTTGGACACAGACTTCTAGAGAGGCAAGACCATGTGAAGACAGAGGGAGAAGGTGGCCATCTACAAGCCAAGGAGACAGGGCTCCAAAGGAACCAGCCCTGCTCACACGTTGATTGCAGACTTCCACCCTCCAGAAACGTGAGAAAATAAATGTCTGTTGTTTAAGCCACCCAGGCGGTGCCACTTTGTGATGACAGCCCTGGCAGACTCATACAGATGGAGAGGAAAGGCGCGTGGGGAGCAGAGTGAGCTAACTTGAGAGGCAGCGCAGGTGCAGAGTGCCGTGTCTGTGGGCCATGCATCTAGGTTACCACTGCTAGGCTATAGCTGAAGGTTGGCCGAGTTCTAGAATGGGTTGGACATGTGCCTGGTACTTGAATTAGCCAACCTCTACTGGTGTGGAAAGGGGGTCTGTCATAATTTGTTTGGTCTGAAAATGAGAGAAAGGACTTTAAGAGAAGAGGGTTTATCAGAAGCAAGACAGAGCTTTGTTTTTTAAAGCTTGGATCCCTTGTTATTGTGAGGCAAGAATCTCTTCTGCCCTGGAACCACCAAGACTTGTGTGATTACTGAAGGTCCAGAAGGTGGAGTTAAGGATGTGTGGGAGAGCTGCTGTTGCTGCTTTCATTTCATGTTATTTTGCTAGGCATGTGGGGGTCATAGCAACCTTCTGTTATCCTTGTTAGCTTGGGTTGACTGAAGTGCCAGCATTTCTCTTAATTTTTCTTATCTTTTTTATTAAAAAGAACATTTTTAGAGCAGTTTAACATTTGTAGAAAAATTATAAAGACAGTACAGAAAATTCCCATATACCCCAAACCCAGTTTCTTTTATTAATAACATTTTACATTATCATGGTTACATTTGTTACAATAAATGGACCAATACTGATATGTTACTAATCCACATTTTATTTAGATTTCCTTAGCGTTTACCTAATGCCCTCCTTCTGTTCTGGGATCTCACCTATAACACCATATTACATTTAGTTCTCATGTCTCCTTAGGCTTCTTTTGGCTGTGACATTTTTCTCAGGCTTTCCTTGTTTCCGATGACCTTGACAATTTTCAGGATTACTTACTGGTTAGGTATTTTGTGGAGTGCCTCTCACTGAGATTTGTCTGATGTTTTTCTTGTGGCTAGATTGGGTTATGGGTCATTGGGAGAAAATGCAGCAGTAAAGTGCCATTTTTATCACATGTAAGGTAACATGCACCCTATCAACATGACTAATCACTATTGATGTTGACCTTGATCAGATAGTGTTTGTTAGTTTTATCCACTGCAAAGTCACTATCTTTATCCCCTTTCCATACTTTACTCTTTGAAACAAAGTCAACACCCACAGTACACACTTAAGGAGTGGGAACCATCAGCTTTTTAAACACACAAAAATTGTGCAGCAGCTTTTGAAGAGCAGGTGTGAGTGATGGTGTTGCTGAATTGTGAGGAGTGGGGAAAAAGAAAAACCCATGCTTTTGTGGTTTATTATTATGATATTTAAAGCCCCAAAATATTGCTGTGAGAAGGAAGAAAAATGTCAGTGGGAGTTTTGTAATTTGTGGAATAAAAATTTATTTCAACCTTGGGTCTAGACTTTCTTTGTTGGTTTAATTAAGACAATCAGTTCTTACCTCTTCCACCAGGACTCCTATGCTGTTGTTGCAGCCAGAGAAGGAAAGATTAAAATTGCCTTTTATTATTGAGAGATTATAGAACATAGTTTTCTTAAAAGCAGTGCCTTTCAGTTGCATTTACTGGGTGGTCACAGTCTCTGTGAGTTTTTCACAGCCTGTCCTGGCTGGGTGGGCCACGGGTACTGTCTTTTCCTAGGTTTCCAGTTCTGTTATTGGTAGAGGATTTCTTACCTCCCTCTAGTGGTCAGTTTTATAATCTCAGATTCTACTTGGATAAATTCAGCAGTGGAAAAATCAAATTTGTGGCAATCCTTATGATAATTTTTCTGGATATTTTAATATAGATGCTAAAATAGATAGTGGTTGAATTTTAGCTATGTCTTTTGGTGTTAGAACTAATTTTAAAATGAGGCAATGTTCTAAGGTGATGAGTAATTATAACGATGAAAAGCGATAGTGATGAAGATTGTATTCTAGACAGAAGGTTTACCTACCTACTATTATACTAAGAACCTCAGTGGACATTTGATTTTTAATCAGGAATTGAATTTGGCTTCTTTCAAGTGTTTTACCAGTGCTGTACGAGCAGTGCGTATTCTAGATAAACTTGAAAGCTGCAAAGCTTTATGAAGCTAGGAGTGAGGGAGGCCTCTGAGCATTGTTCGTCATTTCTTCACAGATAAAATTTTATCTCCAGTACAGGAAATAGCCTTCTTTAAGAGATTTACATCAGTATTCATTATTTTACTAGGGCTTTACAAATGCAGCATTTTTTTTTTTCCAGGTTGCTATCTATGGATATTCTTAGAAAGTTGAAGTAATTTACTAGAACTAAAGACTGATTTTGTACACTTCCTGATGAAAATACTGGATGATGCAGTATTTGGCTAGGCAAATATTCATCCTTTGAATGAATTCTAGCGTTTGTTCCCAGACCTGGAGTTTTGCTTTATTGAGATCCAGAAGGATGACATCCAAGGAAAGATAACAGAATCCATGTGAAGTCTGCAAGTCCCTCTAGTTGCCTTCCTCCACATCAGGACTTAAACTGGACTTAAGGGGCAGCGATCCACTAAGCACTGCTACTGTTCAGAAATAAGAAGGAAAGACTTTATACAGATAACTCGTATTAAGCCAGTAGTTTATTTGTGTCTACTTGTGATCCATATAGAAATAGTGAAGAAATGGCTATATCTTTGCACATTAAATGATGTGGTCTGTCTGTTGCCACTCACCCAGCTCCATCTGATCCACTGGAACTCCACTCTGTTTGGCAGCATTGATGAGGCTGTGGGGAAGCCGCATGGAATCGCCATCATTGCTCTGTTTGTTCAGGTAAACCGTCTGCTGTGATTATCGTGTTCTTTAGAGATGCTAAGTTCTAAATAGTTTTGTAAAATATTTTTTATTCTCAATTTTATTGCTTACAGATGAAATCACACACATACAGAGAACATTTGATAAAAATAGGTAACTTGATCCTTACGGTTCATGAAAGTTCAGCCATATTCACTGGTAGAAAATAGTTCCTTTATTTATTATAAATTTTCTTCAGAGTGGCATTCAAGGTCCTTGAATAAATGATTTAGGAAATGTCTCCTGAAGGTAGAGTTTATTTTATTTATGAAAAAGGATTTCAGAAAGTGTTTTTAGACCCTGGTTTACAGAAAAATCTACGAAAAATCAATAATAGAAGATTACTTCACCCCTTCTTTATTAACAATTTTACTCTGAGATTACTTGAAATGCCTTGAAGGAAAACACTGATAAAAATCAGACTGGCAAAGACCTTGGCAGATATAGTCAATATAACATTTAGATTTGAGCTCTGTGGTAGGCACAGGATAGTATGTAAATTTACCCAAACATGTGAAAGCAGGCCACATGCTTTCAGAGGTAAAAACTTAATCCAGTTTTTAAGGCAAATCTTCTAAATTTTGTTTTATTATATATTTGACATCATAAAAGATTTAGAGGTGAAAGAGTGCCTGAAAATTTTAGCTCTAAAGCTGCCATCAGGACCAGAAAGCAGAGTTCCAGCTCTGTGATGGCTCTGGGCTGCCTCTCGGGTAAGCTGAGAATAGAGCATGTTAGCACAGTGTTCTTCAGAAACTTAATTTTCCAAAGAGAGTTCCATAATGGGCCCCTTTAAACTTGTTTTTTTTTTTTTTTTAATGGCATATATACCAAAATTAATTGCAATAATTTTTAATACATATCTCCTAGATATTTCTTTATTGATGTTTGCAAGTGGCCATCCAAATTAGACTCTTAATATTTTTAAATAAGCATCTTGCAAATAAGACACATGCCACAGAATTTAAAAGAAAATCCTTACATTTTTCAGTGAGCCCTCTTCTGACTGTTTATTTCATGGCTTTGTCATAGGCAGGGACTTATATTCCTTGTATTTTATAACTGGATTATATAAATCACAAAAAGAAAGAAAGAAAATCACAAAATATTAATGAAAACCTTTTTATTATACAAATATATTTTGATAATTTTTAGTGTATTGAAGTAACAATTATGAAAGACTACTCTTATAACCTGGAAAAGTTAATAAAGCATCCAAATTTGAGGAATTGAGACAAGGTACTATCTCATTATTAAAAGCAAGAATAAAAAATAGTAAGATAAAGTAAAAATAAGAATACAGATAACCACATAGTCATATATAGAGGGGAAAGGAACATGTCATTTTCATCTTTGGAATTGTTAATAAATATTTGTGAGCAGAATTAGGTGTGATAACTTAGTATTTTCACTTCCTGATTCTTAGCATGTAACAGGTGACCTGGATTTGTAGAGCCCCAGACTGAAATCCCACCCCCTTAGAACTAATGTGAGTATTTCCAAGAACAAGCTGCATTATTGCAGGCAAGGAAAAGCCTGGTTAGCAAGCACACTTTTTCTAACTTTCTGTAAGTTTCTATGGGGAAAAATTCAGGTTATCTGTGTGCAAATTCTCAGGAGAGAGTAAAATCGCAGAACTGAGAGCAAAATTTCATGAAGGAAGGAAAGAATAGAGGGAGGGAAGGAGCGAGGGAGGATGGGCTGAAATCCATGCGGGGAGGGGTCTGGCCCTTGGACTGGAGGAGAGAAATGGGAGGGAGAAAGTCGGAGACATTGAGTAGATTTTGCTTCCAAGAAGCTTGGCTGAAGGAAGGAAGGACAGATGGGGCAATAACTAGCGATGATGTCCAGTGACTCTTTTGAGATCTGAGATCTACCTGTGGTTCCCCCCCACCCCGCCTCCAAGCAATAAGAAATATTGCAGACATAGAGATTAAAAATACTGGTAAGAGAGGGTGTCATTGAGGTGGAAAAGTCCTGGAGGAGGCAAGAGGGCACGGGATGGAGAGCTTATGTGGATGGACTAATCTCAAGATAGGAGGAAACCCACCCCTTCTCCAAAATAGAGGGCCAGGAGGAAAGGGTAGGCACAAATGGGGCCCATTCATAGGTGGAGAAAGGCAGGATGTTAAGAAAGTTCATGCTGACGACCTTTATTATCTCTGAGACACACAAAGCAGAATTATTTATAGTGCAAAGAAAGCCTGGGTGTGGGATAGAGTCTTGAAATAGCTCAGGAGGGGATGATAATAGACTTGCCAGTCACTGAGGGAACCCCCCTTGGGATTGGACACCCCAGATCATACAGGACAGGGTATGGTGGGTTGTTCTTTATCCAGGTAAAGGAGTAGAGAGTTCTAGTAAGTTGTTGTGTTGATCCGTCACAGAGCAGATGATGTGGGAAGTAAAAGGACTAAAGAATGGAGAGTGGTTGGAAGATCTCATTCTGTTTAGCCAGTCCCACATCTAGGCAGGCGGGGGAAGAAGAAGCCGCAAGGACATGCAAGCCTCGGCTCCTGGTGATCAGAGAAGGGGAGAGAGGGAGGAGCAGGAGAGCTGGCTGGCCTGGGGCATCAGGTCAGAGAGGCCAGTCTTTCAGAGTTGAAGTTTTTGGAATGAGAGCACATACCAGGAGTCCCCTCAGGGTTGGTTTGCTGAGGCAAATGGGGCAGAAGGCCACGGACTGAGGGGTGAGAAGACTTAGGCCGGGGAGGAGATGGGTCACCCCCTGGATGCGGAAGTTGTCCCGGATGGCAGCAGGAGGTGATGCTTGGGAGGGATGGTCTAGTGGGTCAGTAAGGGAGAAGGAGGGCATGGTAGCCTCAGAGGATGGTCCCCTCGGGAGGATGGCTTGAGCACATGGGTCAGATTCACACTGAAGAGAGCAGGAACGCGCTGACTGTGGCTTTCAGTCTGTCTTCCTGGGGGACTGCACAATGTGCAGTTTTGAAAGGCCTGCAAAAGAGCTGTGGCCTTGGGCAGACCCGAGGAGTTCAGGTAGATTGGGAGGTGGTGGGAGAGGCTGGCAGAAATGCAGAGTTGTTCTGTTCCAGAAAGTGCAGTGGAAGGTAAGGAGAGATTGTGTTAGAAGTGAAAAAAACGGGAGGTTCAGGGCTGAGATGCCAGGCAAGGAGAACAGACCAAAGTGGTTTGCATTTCTGGTGGTGGTGAAGGATGGCAAAGGTGAGAGGTGAGAAATGAGTTCTTCTCAAGGTTTCTGGTGGGCTCTTGGTATCGGGTTGTACTATGTGAACAGTTGCTTGCACAATTTTAGCAGTTGAGGTGTGGAGATTATCATCAGTACTTGCTTTTTGCTGGTTGTAATTTCTTCATACAAAAATTTGACAAGGAAGGAAAGGAAAGAGATGGAGTAAGAACAGAGGTTATAGAGTTTTCAGGATATAAAGTTTTGCCCATAAAATAGAGTCTTTATAGTTAAAAGGAGCTAGTAATAGTTAAGTGCTGTTATATGGAAAAACTATATTTGATGCTGTAGGGCATCTAGATTAAGATTAATAATGGATATTAAGTGAATTATAACGGCCCAAGCCCTACAGTCTTTGTTTGATTTAATCTTATCTTCAACCCTATCATTTTTGTCCTCCCCATGAGGATTTTATTCCTCCCTATGAGGAAGTGGGAAGGATGTAAAGGTTAAATACACTTGCTTAAGGTCACACAGCTAAGAGGTGGCAGAGTCAAGATTGGAATCCAGGCAGTCCATTTGCAAAGTGAGCCTGCTCCTCAGCTGCCACATTGAGTGGCCTTAGTGTTCACATGCGGATGCTTCAAAGAGTTTACAGCCCGACAGGAGATGCGTGAGATGAAAACAGACCCCAAGTGCAGACGTAGGCCTCCCAGTGCTATAGGATGGTTAAACCAGTAAGAAAAAGAGAGGTCCATTTCTCCTGAAGAATGGATAATGACTTCTGCCTAAAATTCCAGGCTGCTGCACCCACAGTACATATGCATTAGGTTTTTAATTTTTTTTAACTTTAGAAAATTTATTTTCTGTTTTCAGAGCCTAACTCAGGAATAATTGTCGATGCTTGGAGAATAAGTTCACGTCTTGACTGTTTAGAGCTGACGGGCTGTTGTAGGGAGAGCATTTCTCATCTCTCTCCTGTCCCTTTGGATGCTCTTTCAACTGGCGTGTTTTGCCGTTGGTTAACGTAAGGAGAAACAGAGAATGTGAACATATTGACAGCTCCTCTGGCTTCTCTTAGGTCGTTCTCCAAATATCTATGTGGAAGGAGGAAAGCTGACAAAAGCAGTGATTGCTTATTTGAGGTTCTGAGTGATCTCTATGACTCTCCTCCATTATCATGGACCATTGGAAATTGGTCAGATTTCACTTAAAATTTTTAAAGACAAAATCAAGAATATTAAATATTAGAATTTTTTTGTCTCTTTTTTTGGGAGCATTTCATACACTAATAATATATAGTGATATGTTTTTAAAAAGAAGACTATGAAAAGCATATTCTTATTTATTTAAGAATAGAAAGGTAGTTATATTATTATGTCCAGTAGTAATCACAAAAGGTCTTGATTTTGGTGAATTTAACAACAAAATCACCTATCTGCTTTGTAAGTTAATATAATTTTTCAGTATTGTTAAAATCTTTATAGCAGTGATCTGTACATGCCAAAGTTAAACATGGAAGGTTTTGAACATGTACTGAGTAGTTTTAATTCAAAAATATCCTTGGTATTTTTATATAACAGTATTTTATAATTTGATATGTGTAGCAAAGTGAGCGATTCCTATACATAGTAAGAAGAATTTAGAATGAGTTTCTGGGTATTTACATATCTAATACTTTATTATACTAGCTTCCTTTACAACTTTAATTACCTTTAGTAGATATTGACCTATTATTAATAAAAGGCCATTTAATTAGTCCTCAGAAAGGACATTCAGATGGACTGGAGCCAAGTTCTGTTCGTTTTTTTTGAATTTAAGCTAAACACTTAAAAATGCTGTGGTTGTGGTTTATGCTTTATGTTTTTCAGATAGGAAAGGAACATGTTGGCTTGAAGGCTGTGACTGAAATCCTCCAGGATATTCAGTATAAGGTAAGTCATTATTTAAAATAATACAAAAACGCTGCTCGTGTAGGAGGACCCTGTGACCACCTGTGGGCTCAATGCTGTGATAGAAGGACTCCCAGACCTCAGAAAAGCTGCCGTCCTTGTGGTTATGGTTTATTACGGTGAAAAGAAACAGATCAAAAAGCAGAGGGAAAAGGTGCATAGAATGAAGTGCAGGGGAAACCAGGCGCAAGCTTCCAGGTGTCGCCTCCCTGGAGAATCACATGAGGATGCCCCTGATTCCCCTAGCAGTGATGGGTCACAACATGTGTGAAGTGTTGCCAACTACGGAAGCTCACTCTAGCCTTGGTGTCCAGAGATTTATTAGGAGTCAGTCATGCAAGCACAAAATGCCTGCAACATAACTGACCTCAGCTGTTCCACCTCTGGCAGTAACCCTCTCCCTGCCCTCTTCACTGTAAGTCACATTGTCAGCATCAGCTTCTCTGTTCCAATTGGTACAGTATGTCTCAAGGCCTCAGGCATGTAACAACAGGAGTTCATCATAAATACAGCATGGCCCAAGGCTGCAGGCACACAGAAACACTTTTATCAGGTAGAATATTCCGAACTCAGAGGTTATATCCCAGGAGTCAAGAGTTAGCCCTGAAGACAGGCCTTGATCTGGGATGTACAGGGTTTGAGCAACTCAGGCCTGCTGGGTTAACCCTTTTCTACCTGCATGCTATAGGAAACGAATACAAATTTGGGGAATCATATTTCAAAGCATTTATGTTAAATAAATTTTAAAAAGAAAACAAGTACACATATGTGGTAAGATAATATACAAGAGAAGGTGATCAACTTGCCCCTGCAATGAAACGGCCAAGCATTGCTAGGAAGCCAGTGCCGATTTCTCTTATAAGCAGTTCCTTTTTGGCTCATGTTTAGTGTCAGTTGAATGTGAGTGATCTTAGGGACGGGAGTAGTCTGGTCTTGTAGGGCTGCTGGAGATACAGAGCAGGAGTGGAACTTGTTTGATTGCAGGAGATCCAGAGACCCAAATCCATTTCTAAGAAAGATCAGTTTGGGAATCAAGTTGGATTAGCTTTACACTGACACAGCCCAGGGTACCCTGAACCAGGCAGAACCTTCACTGAAGGTCTCCTGAGTAGGTTTTTAATGAACCCAGCTTCCAAGGGAAGCCCAGGCCAGACAAAAGAAGCTGATAAGAAGACAGTTGAGGGCACGTTTTGATTTGTATTTGTATAATTGCAATGGGCTGAGAAAATTTATTATATCATCTAATAGGAAACCAATCACTATGGAACTCAGGAGGGTCGGGGAGACAAGTAACGTAGAGTCTTTAATGTGTAAAATAGTCCCAGGAAATCAGGAAGGGACTTGGAGGTTATGCAATAACTTTCCCTGTTGCATCTGTATTAATACAGTAATCTTTTTTTTTTTCCTGTCACTTCACAATTCTTTTATGACTGATCAATACAGTAATCTTTTAAGAAAAATCTGATTCACTTGACAGGACCAATTGCCTCTAAAGTCTAGGCAATTTAAATGACATGATTTAAAATGATGATTTTAAATGTGAATTGTTGAATAAGGGTACGAATGATTCCCTTGAAATTTAAATCTAGCTTTGATAAACACTGATTGGAACAGAATATTTCCATGTGTTTTAGATTTCCCTTTCCAGTTGAGGAGAGCATCTAGCATAGATCCTAGAGCTGAAGTACCAAATCCAAATAGGACAAAACAGGAAGCTGGAAGCCAGGTTGTGATGCCAAAAAGGTTAGGAACTGCAGTGAAATTAAGCAGGAAGAAAGGCATTTTGAAAATTCCCCCACCCAGGGTTCAGGCATTTTACAGTAAGAATTTAGCCCCAATCTCTGCTATGAATTGTGCTCAGAGCAGAAAAAGTAACTGATGTGGGGGCAGATGGGCACCAATTGTAGGTTGGTCACCAGGACTTACAGGGAGAATTGAACTATGGTAGCAAAGAAAATAGCCATAGAATCAGAGCAGGAACCAGACGATATTACTTGAATGAGTAGGTAGAAGGAGACACCCACAAATCTGTGGGACCTGATGAGGCCATTCATAAAAGACTTCATTCTACATTTTTTATAATACATTTTTTATTCTAAAATCTAGAAATATTACATTAACATTGGGTAAATATTTTTTTTCTTTTTCAGGGGAAGTCCAAAACAATACCTTGCTTTAATCCTAACACTTTATTACCTGGTGAGTATTTATCTGATTCATTAGAATGAATTTTAACTGTGGCTGTAGTCACATTGTTTTCTGCAGACTATATAAAAATATATATCGTTAGTTAATAAAATTTATTTGCAATTTATATTCTCTTTAGCAGATACCATTTCCAGATTACTCTTAAATATGGAAGTAAACCTTTTGAAGTAATAAAGAGACACTTTACCATTAGTTTCAATGATCCATCAAGAACTTCCTTAGGATTGTCATTTGTAAAAATTGCTACCTCTGTGTAAAGCACCAGTATAATAAAATAACTGGCTTGGTGTGGAGGCTCACCTTTGTAATCCCAGCTACTCAGGGGGCTGAAGCAAGAGAATTGCTTGAACCCAGGAGGTAGAGGTTGCAGTGAGCCGCGATCACGTGATTGCACTCCAGCTTGGGTGACAAAGTGAAACTCTGGCCCAAACAAACAAAAACCCTGATGTACTTCTAAGATTGCTCAGTAGAGTTCTTAATCTTTACAGTAAAATGAACTTTGTATCTAATTTTATAAGATTACCTCTCTGCAGTAACATTATTATTATATATTATTCTAAATGTATATGTGTGCAGGTAACAATTATACGTAAAATACTCAGAATGTGATTTAAAGGTTGTTGTACATAAAATTTTGGTCTTCACAGTTCTCTGCCCAAGTTATGTGTTGTCTCTTAGTGTTTCAAACAAAACCAAATAGGTTGATGCATTGTATCTCCTGTTTTCTACATTTAATTGCTATACAACAAACCAGTTTCTATGATATGGTAAACATTTATTAATCGTAATCATAAATCCCTCTAATGCAGAGCTAAAGGATTTCATAAGAATGATTCATTTTGTTCTATTGTAATATGGTTTTGATATTTTGCTGTTGAAGAAGTAGTATAGCGGTAGCTAGAACTGAATGGTTAAAAATATAGGCTTTCAGACAGACGTGGTGGCCCTCACCTATGTAATCTCAACACTTTTGGAGGCCGATATGGGAGGATTGCTTGAGGCCAAGAGTTTGAGACTAGCCTAGGCAACACAGCCAGACCATGCTCTAAAGAAAGGAAAAAAAAAATGCTGGCTGTGGTGGTGTGCACCCATAGTCCCTTCTTGGGAGGCTAAGGTGAGTGATTGCTTGAGCCCAGCAGTTTGAGGATGCAGTGGTTGGTTCATGATCACACCACTGCACTCCAGCAGCCTGGGTGACAGAGCCAGACCCTGTCTCTTAAAAAAAAAAATACAGGCTATGACACCAGACTGCCCAAGTTCGAATCCTGACTGCCAGTGATTATTAGCTGAGTGACCTTAGGCAAACTACTGATGTTATTATTCCCCATCTGAAAAATGACATTAATAATACTACCTATCTCACTGGTTTGTTGTGAAGGTTAAATAAATTAATGTAAATTGCTGGTACATTGTAAACATTCAATAAATATTAGATATGAATCAATCAGGTAAATCCTTTAATAAAATGAAAAAACTCAAAATATACATACGCTTCTAAAGTGCTTAAACTTGACAGGTATATACCATAATCCATTGATAGAAATCACTGTAAATAATAGAGAATTCATCATGTTTTTTATCCATTATTTTCTCCAAATGAGTAGTTTAATATTGTGGGGCTCTAATTTGAAAATGACTTCCATCTTTGAAGTGTCATTTGGACAGTTTATAATTTTGAAAATTGTTGTTGGAGTCATGAAGATTGTTACTGATTCACTTGCCTTTTCATGACACGTCCACGTGGCCATGTAGACCCTCTGCTGCGGGATTACTGGGTGTATGAAGGCTCTCTCACCATCCCACCTTGCAGTGAAGGTGTCACCTGGATATTATTCCGATACCCTTTAACTATATCCCAGCTACAGGTGAGTGTGCTACTTTGAATCTTTCAGAGTGAAGTTCTGAGTTAAACATCGTTTCTGAGAAAGGAAAATGCCTGTTTATGTTTTAGCTCCCTTTAGATCAGTCATGCCTTTCTAGATGAAAGTTAAATGGCTTGAACTAGTGAAAGCGGTTGAAAGGTCAAGGATGGACAGAACCCAACACTCATTTATGGTCTATATTTCAAAAGTTCGTTTTTAGAGAGTTAATAGAAATCACTGAAGGAGGAAAACTTTTGATTAGTCTAGTTATTTCTTTATGTGAATTTCCCCAGGTATGGAGAAGAGAAAGTCTGGAAGTAAAGTGGGGATGCTGGTTGTTTCTATAAGTCACACATAGGCTTTGTAATAGTTTTGCCTTGGTGTGTACAGGAAAATTCTGCATATGTAGGGGTGAAGGACCCAGAAGGAATGCCCGGAAAATTCTGGATAGTTTTCTAGTGGATGACTTTTGGTCATCCACTCCCTGCCTTGGGCTCTTTGTAGGTGCCCTAAATGCTACTGCGCAGTGGGTAGGAGCACTGGAGTGAATGGTCACCTGGATGTTAGCTGGTGGAGCACGAGGCAGCATCACTCTAGTGTATTTAAACCATGATGTCAATATTACAAAAGGGGCTTTAAATGTCTCCTGTCTTTCAGGGATCTCTCAAAGGCATGGATACATTCTGGAGAGCTATATTGTTCTTTCATGATCAGACTCAAAGGGCTTGGGAAATACTGTCAGCAAACCAAGTTTTCTTTGGTAGCTTTAAAATACTCCCCATTATTTCTTACTTCTCGGTAAAGCTTTCTTTAGTTTGTCCTTAAATATTAAAAAAATCCTTCTTCCAACATTTAATAATTTCTCTTAATTTCTGTTTTGCTAGGGATTAATTCAAAAATTTCCCTACTCAGCCTCTCCTCCCCATAGCCCTTATTATTTTATGAACGCTGATCATATCACCTTTGAACCTTCATGGTTTTATATGACAAATCCTAGTTCCTACATTTAGTCATTCGTCTATTTGTTCTTACAGGAGACTATGCTTCACATGGTTAGACTTGGGATACGGGTTTGAGAAAAACAACTGTGGAGACAAAGGGCTCTTCTCATCACTTCAAATAGGGGCATATGCTACCAGCACCACTTATCACTGGTGATGTGTTCTTGTTTTTTTAGTACCACTAAATACACATTGCTTTTAATTTAAAAATGAAGGACGCAGAGAAACCCTTCCTGAATGCCAACTGGACACAGAGGTTGACAAGAGTAAAACACAGTCTTTACCTTCAAAAAGTTCACCATAGAGTTGGAGAGGCAGATGACCAGACAATTAAAATGACAATAAATGAGGTGCTCTGGAAACACATATGGAAGAAACCCAACCAACTCCAAGAGGTGTAGGGAATAATTCCTGCCAAATATTCGAAGTTAGTCTGGTGAAGGAGCAGAAAGAAGTTAGAAATTTGGGTCTAATGTTAAGCCTAGAGTTTTGGACTCATGGATATCTAGATTTGCGACTTAACAGTGAAGATGATGGCTGCTACACCAGATAAACCTCAAAATGTCAGTGACTTAGCACAGTAAAAATTTATTTCATACTCACATAAAACCCAACACATGTGTTTCTGATTTGCAGTGAAGGCTTTTCTCTGTGTAGTCTTTCAGGGAACCAGGTTGAAAGAAATGCTTCCATCTGCATTGCCTTCCTCCCACAGTCGCCCTCGGTGGGCATGATGCAAAGGTTCTCAACAGGGATCTTTTTGAGTGAGCTCCACCTACACTTACTTTCTGTTGGCTACAACTGGTTCCATGACTACCCTAACTGCAGGAGAAGGTGGGAAGTGCGTTCTAGCTTCATGCCCAAGAAGAAGAAAAAAAGATTCAGTGATCAGATGAGCTAGCAATTCCTGGCACTATAGCTTACACTGAGTAGGAAGACAAGAATATAGTCCCCACTGAGTGTAACACTGCAGTGGAGATGGGGGAGATGATGCCTCCTTAGGAACTAAGGACCAAGGGTCTTGAGAAGAACAGGGAGGGAGGGTTGCCAAGATGTGGAGGAGGAGGTGGTTAATACTGAGAAATGCTGTGGAGAATTTCAGTAGGACAAGTGCTGCCCACCCAAGCATCAAATAACTACGGCACTTTTTAAAAATGGGCCCAGGTGATCGGAGTTCCTTGACTCTGAACTTCTGGCTTTCATCTGGTTTAAATTCCGGATCTTGACTTGTTCTTGTCCTTTGATACCTAATGTTTTCCCTGGCCAGGCATGCTCACTGCTTGATTCTGGTTTTGGTATCCTCCTCTCTTGTGGACCTTTGGCTTCCCTTCTCCACTACCATTCTTCCTCCTCCCTTCCACTGCGCTGTTTCTGGTTTCTCCAGTTAAGTAAACACCTTAGCCCATCCAAGCAGTTTGCTTTTAGGCTCCTACCATGGTGAAAGCCTTCCTTTCTTTTCTGATTTGCCTCATAATCGCAAACAAGATGCATGAACAATAGCTATAATCACCAGTTAGGCCACTGTTAGCCCAAAGGAGATGTTTCCATAGAATGTTGAGCTGAACGTAGAGGGACCAAGCATAAACATGGACCATATAGAGACCATCTTTCTAGAAGCTGAACGGGAAAGGAAAGGAGGGATTTAGGGACAACGTTTACAGAGTAGTCAAGTGTTTTTGTTTTTAAGATTTAGGAAACACTAGAGGTTTTGTAGACATATTGAAAACAATCTGTGAATAGGACAGTTGATCCCATGATATGGTGACTTCCATTATCATTCCCAGGTTTCAGATGAGGTGATTGAGGCCTAGGGAAATTAAGAAACCTTTGCCTGCAGGAAACAGGCAGTAAGGGTAGATTTGGAGATCCAGCCAGTCATGTGTGATGTCAGTGCTGGGTGCTTAACTACTGCCCCCTTTTGGTGTGCCCTTTTCAACACTGCACTTCCTTTGAGACCTTTCTACATGAGGCCTTGTTAGGAAGTCCCCAGCAGTGTTACAGAGGTTTCTGCCTTTTCCTGTGTTGTGTTCTGTATCCCCAGTTGGAGGAGTTCTGTTTCCCTCAGACAGTTGGAAACACATAACTAAAACTTCAGCAGCTGAGGCCTGACGTGCAGATTTAGGGATCCTTAGCGTCAAAAAAGGAGCGGAATAACAAAACAAATGAGACACCCAAGGAAAGAATATGGACAGAGAAGAGTCACGTAGTAAGGATGGGAGGAGACACCCTGGGACACTTTCCTGAGGCTGATACTTCCTGAGGTATCCTTCCTAAAACTCTTCTAAACTGGTAGGACCCTGTTTGCCATCTGGTTACCCCAGGTCACTTCTCTTGCTCCTCTTGCTGACTTTGTATTTCTAAAGCAGAGAAGGAATCTGGAATTCACCTGCATGTGAGGGCCATGGTGACTGCCAGCCACCCCATCCAGGTCAGACTCAGGGACTGCAACCTGTGCAGGGGCCATGGGTCATATAGTCACTGTTCTATGAATGACACATGTAAAACATCAAACTTCCCTCTACATTTACTTTTCCTACAATTTGACTCAAGGATACATACACATTTCTTTATTGTTGTTGCAGATAGCCCCAAATCATAGATACCCAAATTTCAAAGCCCCGAGGCTTAACATACAGTGTGTTTTATGATACTAGGACACATTCATTTGCCTTTACTTGTCATTGACCCTGTTAATAAAAGCAATTTATTGATATAGTAAGGTAATTATGTCATAGTTCTAGCTTCCATTTCTTTATCCTTCTTGTAGGCAGTTGTTAGCAGGTGAAATTGCTCCTTTGAGACTGATTTGGATAACTTATTCACTGATTCATGCATTCCTTCATTTATTTGTCAATTATTTGACATTTGCCCTGTGCCAGTTACTGTAATCAGTACCGACAAGAGGAGATCAGTAAGATACTCTCAAAATAATTCACCATCTAGGGCGAAAGGCCGGCTGATACATAGGTGTACATTAAAAGAAAAACCCAGTCCAGCACTGTGGGATGGTGTAGACATAGTCTTGAGGTAGCACATCAGAAATGTGCCTGGATGAGAGTTAGTTATCTAGAGGTCTTCCCCAAGCCAAGTAAGGAGGTGTTGCCTGAGTATTTGTGAGAATTGCCAACAGGGGAAAAGTGTCCGTATGCTTGTGTTTGTCAGGGAGAATCAGTGAGCCTCAGGGCTGTGCCATGGGGGTTGGGTTTTCTCCTGAAGGTGGTGGAGAATCAGTGAGCCTCAGGGCTGTGCTATGGGGGTTGGGTTTTCTCCTGAAGGTGGCGGAGAATCAGTGAGCCTCAGGGCTGTGCCATGGGGGTTGGGTTTTCTCCTGAAGGTGG